TTTTTAATTTTTATTAAAATACTAAGAAAATCACTAATTCCTCTTAATTTTCCCCTCTTTTCCTGTCTGTTGGCGGTCACCACTCGTTCTAACGGAGTCCGTTTTCCCCGACTAAGGTCTCAAGATGTCGGGAAAAATACAAGGACCAACTTTGGTCCGGGCGAAGTTCACCTAATTTCGCTTCTTTTCTTCGTAATTAAAATAAAAGGAATTCATGATTTTCGGAATTTCAATTTGAAAAATACAAAAAATTTCATATCTCTTTTTCTAGCCGTTAGAATTCCTCAAAAAACGTCTCAAAACGTTCGCCTCGACGAGAGGTCGAACTTTGCTCCCAGTGCGCCTCGCGTAAAAACGCGCGGATCGGGAGATATAAAAAAAAAAAACGATTTAAATATTTAAACTCATGATTTTGGGGATTTTTAATTAGAAAATATAAAAAAAAATCATCTCTCTTTTTCTAGCCGTTAGAACTCCTCAAAAAACGTCTCAAAACGTTCGCCTCGACGAGAGGTCGAACTTTGCTCCGGTGCGCCTTGCGTAAAAACGCGCGGATCGGGAGATATCGAAAAAAACGAATTAAATATTTAAACTCATGATTTTGGGGATTTTTAATTAGAAAATACAAAAAAATTCATATCTCTTTTTCTAGCCGTTAGAATTTCTCAAAAAACATCTCGAAACGTTCGCCTCGACGAGAGGTCGAACTTTGCTCCCAGTGCGCCTCGCGCAAAAACGCGCGGATCGGGAGATATCGAAAAAAAACTAATTCTAAAAATATCAAAAAATGAAACTAATCAAGGAAATGGCTAATTAGTGCTTGACTAATCAGCCCGTGCACCCCCGTTGGTTGGGGAAGGCCGCGGCCTTGGGGGTGCTGCTCCCCTCCCCGGCAACGGCGCCAAAGTTGTGAGGAAACGCGGGGAGGGGTCGCCTACTGCTCGTTGAAGCCAGGGGCAGCAGCGCCTGTCACTCGCCGTGCCCGCTTCCGAGGTCCTCAACGAACGGCAGGGGACTTGGTAGGAGACACCCTGTCTCGCTACCTATTTTTCTATTCTCTTTCTTCTTTGTTTTACAACTTCACACCGCCAACGGTTTCGATCAGTCGGCTGGTAAATTAACAGGTTCAGACAACAATGAGTCTTCTTAGTCAATCGTCAAAACAGTTGAGTCAGTCAGCTTTGTGTTTCTATAGTCAACCCGTAATTCGGCCGGTACAAACCGCAATTATCCTCAATAGTCAAATGGTAAATCGACCGGTTCAAGCAGCTTTACTGGTTCGGCACGAATTTGGCCCTGCTTTGCGATCAGATCTGACCCCAGAAGTTTCAGATCGCTCTAGCGGTCGTTCAGCCCTCGCCTGGCGTGCATTCGCCCCAGTTCGCGGCTTGATTAATTTGCAAAACTCAAGAACGATCAAGCTGGCACGCCGAACCCATCGCAACGCGTGATGATTCACTGTATTCGCCCGCCTTAGGGTACTCATTCAACAGTTCAAAATTGCGAAATCGAGTGGGTATTTCGAGCCTGATAAACTGCTGTATTCATCCCACCTTTGCGGGCGGATTCAATGCTTCAGAACTGGGAGAGTTCAAGTGGGCATCTCAAGCCTGATAATTCACTGTATTCGCCCCGCCTTGGCGGGCAGATTCAATGCTTCAGATCAG